AAAAAATACATACATTTCCTTTATTTTTTTCATTTAGTTTTTATAAATTGTATTCATAGTATATAGAAGAAATATATCAGTGCACTTTTTCTAGATGATAAATCCTCATTTGTTCATTAATGTTGTTTTATGAATCTTGAAATTTAAATCTGCTAAATTTACTAATGAATCACAATATCTCTCCATAACACACCGGGTAATGATTAAAACATATGCGTTATCTAATCTTTATATACTCAGCACTGTAAGATTGTGACAATGAAAAAGGCTGAATATGACATACTTGTATATGACAGGAACAACCTTGAGATTAACAACTCAAAATTTGCTTATAATTTCAAGGACCAAGTTAAGCCAGAAAGGGGATCGTGCGTTTGGGGTAGCAGCGCCATTTTAGAAAATAAAAATAAAAATTGTAGCAAAATAATATAAACATAATTAATATTTTTCATCAGTTTCTAAGTTATTTTTATTTAGTTATTTTTAAAGCTGTACTAATAGTGCTATACTAATAAAAGTGACATTGACTCATACAGGTGAAACTGGAAAAATTAATATCGTAAAAAAGTTATAATTTTAATGATTATGGCCACGACTTTGGGATAGCTTACCATTGCATGTTAGAGACGCTGACTCTCTACATGTTTTTAAAGTTCAACTCAAGACATTTCTTTGCCATGGCCTATTCTTCCATTTCATGATAATTTTTATAATTTTTATTCTATTGTACTATTTTGTCTATTTTTCTGAGATGATGTAAAGCACATTGGTCAACGTGTTGTTTTAATAGTGCAATACAAATAATAAAAGTGACATTGACATATACAGGTGAAACTGGAAAAATTAGAATATCGTGCAAAAGTTCATTTATTTAAGTAATTCAACTTAAAAGCTGAAACTAATATATTATATAGACTCATTACATGCAAAGTGAGATATTTCAAGCCTTTATTAGTTATAATTGTGATGATTATGGATTACAGCTTATGAAAACCTTTTCACAATATTCTAATTTTGACTTTGGGGTTTTCATAAGCTGTAAAATCATCAAAATTATAACAAATAAAGGCTTGAAATATCTCACTTTGCATGTAATGAGTCTATGTAATATATTAGTTTCACCTTTTAATTTGATTGACTGAAATACACAAACTTACGATATTGTAATTGTTCGAGTTTCCCCGGTGTGACATACGAAAGGCGACGTGTTTGCGTGTGTTCCCTCAGCCGTGTCCGTGGACGGAGTGAGTGTGTTCGGATACACAGCCTGGAGTCTGGTGGACGGGTTCGAGTGGAATCACGGATACGGCATGAGGAGGGGACTGTTCTACATCGACTTCAGTCAACCCGAGCGCCACAGGATCCCGAAGACCAGCGCTCACTTCTACCGGCGACTGATCCGGGACAACGGGCTCCCGGCCGACAGCCCGCCTCACACCGAGGGCCGATTCCCCTGCGACTTCCAGTTCGGTGTGTCGGAATCAATATTACAGGTGATTGTGCATTTATTTAACATTTTAAAAACTCTTTATTTTGTCAAAATGTCCGTCTTGGTGAGTACAGGTGAAACTCGAAAAATCTGAATATGGTGCAAAAGTTCATTTATTTCAGTAATTCAACTTAAAAGCTGAAACTAATATATTATATAGACTCATTACATGCAAAGTGAGATATTTCAAGCCTTTATGTGTTGTAATTGTGATGATTATGGATTACAGCTTATGAAAACCCCAAAGTCAAAATTAGAATATTGTGAAAAGGTTTTCATATCTGTAAGCCATAATCATCACAATTATAACAAATAAAGGCTTGAAATATCTCACTTTGCATGTAATGAGTCTATATAATATATTAGTTTCAGCTTTTAAGTTGAATTACTGAAATAAATTAACCATATTCTCATTTCCGAGTTTCACCTGTACAGTGTTTTAAAGTTTAACTCCGGGTTTAATGACTATTTTGATAACTGAATGCTTAATGCAATACTGTTTTAAATTGTGCATATAGAGAAATCCTTAGGCTTGTTCCAGTCTGGATATTCCCGATCTCAAAATTGGGAAGATGGTGTTATAAGATCGTGATATGAAATTTTGGGAAGATCCCTTGGATTATTTACATTTACATTTATGCATTTGGCAGACGCTTTTATCCAAATCGACTTACATTGCATTTCAAGGCACACATTTACTTTCTTATCAGTTCTTGCTTTCTCTGGGAGTCGAACCCATGAGCTTGACCCAAGCGCCAGCGCTCTACTGTATGCAGTTGTATGTATACAATGTAGTGTTGTCACGATACCAAAATTATTGTTTCGATACCGATACCAAGTCAAGAATTGCGATTTCGATACTTTTTCGATACTTTTCCTGAAAAGGGAGAAACTTTCTCAAATATCATTGCTGTGCTTTATTTTAAAACTGGGACAACATTCCAATCATAACACACTAATAAATGAACATTTGAACAGCAGATAGGCTATAATAACCATTTGAACAAAATATGAAATATGAAAAATATAAAAAATAAATTAGAGCAATGACATTCAAGGTAAAAAAATAAATAAATTTAGCAGCATTATCTCAGTTATCATAAGAAACATAAGATTTTATCAATATCAATGCCACTGAAGATTCTGCTTATCGATCCGATTCTTTAACGATTCTCTTATCGATTCATGATAGCATTGTGTGGAAAAAAGTAGTCATATGCTTTTTCGGGGGAAAAAACAAGTGTTTTTATTTGTTTTATGTAATTTATGTAATAAATGAAACCTTATTACAAAGTGTTAACGATTAGTTATACACCGATTCAGACAGATCAGTTGTTTTAACCATTCATTAAAACGAATCGGTTCAAATGAGTCATTAGTTCGCGAATTGGACGTGTCATTATCGGACGTGTGCGCGTTGTGTGATTATCCAGGCGGTTACATCCCACTGTCATCATAGAAAACATTTTATGACTGGATAGTTTTTTTCGTTTATTTAAAGTGTGGTTTATGTCAGCTGAATGTGCGGAACGATTCAGAGAAGATAAGGCAACGTATTTTACCACAATTTACACCCAGCGGTAATTCAGAAAAAAAAAGATAAAAAACTCCGAATGCTCCACATGAAACTTTAGTCTCCCGACCTTACCATCGTGTCGAATTATTTTGATTAATATGTGCGAGGGAGAGAGAGAGAGCAAGACAGCGCTTAGTTTTGAGACGGTGAAGCCTTGTTTATACTTTCGCCTGGCTCCGCAGAGAGAGAGAGAGTTCGCGCGCGCGACCGGGGCTCGCTCACTCTCTCTCTCTCTCTCTCTCTCTCTCTCTGCTCGTTCAGTTCACGCGCCCTGTCACACGCGCATGAGGAGAAAAACACAGACGTCCATAGGGAGGCACTGGAAGCGTGCGTTGCACACACCAACATGCAATACTCTCTTACAAATCTGGAACGCGGTCATTCTTAGAAGTATCGATACTAATAAATTTAGGTATCGTGAAGTTTTTAATTTCCGAGTATCGCGATACTTTTGAAGTATCGGTGCACCGTGCAACACTAATACAATGTATATTATTTGTGAATGTTTGGTATTAATGTGTTCTCCCAGGTTCACCTGCACCCGTTCTCGCCCCAGTTCACGGATCCGCACCTGTACCGCTGGAACTACTCCGGCGACAGCGCTCTCAAACCCGTGACGGGGATCGAGCTTCGCAACCGGGCCGCCCAGTGCACCGACTTCATCTACATCCAGCGCCACCTGGTTCTCCTCGGGGTCACGGGGTCGTCCCACTACCGGTTCGCCCTGGACTGGACCCAGCTCATGCCCAGCGCCGACCCGTCGTCTGTGGACCCGGAGAAGGTTCGGTTCTACAGGTGTGTGTTGAGCGAGCTCGTCCGTAGAGGAATCCAGCCGGTCGTGACCCTGTATCATCCCAGCTACCGGTCGCAATCGCTGGGAATGCCTGAACCGCTACATGCTAACGGCGGATGGAGGAACCACAGCGCCGTCGAGGCCTTCGCTAACTACGCTACGTTCTGTTACCAGGAATTCGGTGGGTTTGTACAGACGTGGATCACTATTAATGAGCCGAACCGGTTAGTGGAAGCGTACGACGGGACGGCGGAGGACAGGCGGGTGGTAGCGCGTCACTTGCTACTAGCGCATGCTAAAGCATGGCGCGTTTACGATACGCGGTTTCGCCGCCAGCAGGGGGCGACGGTTAGTTTCGCGCTTCATGCTGATTGGGCCGAACCGGCCAATCCGTTCGTAGAATCGCATGAAGCTGCACGGCAGGATTTTTTGTCGTTCGAACTGGGCCGTTTTCTCGACCCCGTGTTTGAGGGGCGTGGCAACACTCTGATTGGCTTCACCGATGACGAGAGGGAGGAGCTTAAAGGGACGCTGGATTTCATCGCTCTGAATCACTTCACGACACGTCTGGTGTCACCGTTGCACAAACCTTCACCACGAAACCCAAACCCACCCAAACCGGCGAACCAGGACCACGGCTACTCGCTGATGACCGACGACACCTGGCCGGCGTCACACCTGGGACAGGCGCTCGTGCCCTGGGGTCTCCGCAGGGTGCTGGGGTGGGTGAAGGATCGCTATGGCGACGGCCTGCCCATCATCATCACAGCGTCAGGGGTGGATGATCAAGCATCCCATAATGACCAGCTGAGACAGCGCTATATCAGGGACTACCTGCAGGAGGCGCTGAAAGGTGAGAAAATATTGTTTTATTTTATCATTATTTTTATTTTATTATTATTTTTTTAGTACTATTTTTTCATTTTATTTTATTTTTTATTTTTATTTTAGTTACGTTTATTATTTTATTTTATCATTATTTTTATAGTTTATTTTATCAATTTTATTTTATCATTATCTTTATTTTATTTTTATTTAATTTTTTATTTGTTTTAGTTTATTTTATCATTATTTTTATTTTTTTATTGTTTTTATTTGATTATTTTATTTTAATATTATTTTATTTATTTACGTTTATTTTTCTTTTATCATTATTTTTTATTATTATTTATTTTTCTTTTCTTTTAATATTTCATTTTATCATTAATTGATCTTATTATTTCAATAGTTTAATTTTAATACTTTTTTTGCATGTCACATATAAAGCACAACAGCGACCGTCCACTTTTAGCATTCGCTTGGTTCCATTATTATTTATCCAATTCATGTATATTAAGCATTTAAAAAATATATTTAATTCCTTAAACCCTGGCTAATAATTCATAAAATATAAAATATATATAAAAATAATCTAAATAAAAAACTTTCTAAAATTTGTATTTGTTTAACTGCATGTCACATGACCATTAACCAGAATCAGGGAACCATGAACATGCAAATGTGTTGTTAAATTATTTAAATATCAACTAAATCATAAATGTAATATATTTCATAATTTCAAAAACAAGAAACAATACATGTTTTGAAAGTTTTTAAAAAAAAATTAACAATACTTTTGATTTTTAAGAAAAGGAAGTCTGATTATTTGGCTATTACGATAATATGAAGTGTAGCAATAGAAATAGCGATACTTGCCTCAGCAAACATCACTAATGAGCTGTGATTATGAAACATGTTCCTATTATAATAACAACATGAGAGATCAGCCGTATTGCAGAATGCTAGAGCTAAAGTGTGTGTGTTATGTAGTGTTATCTGTTCTAACACAAGGACAGCGTAATCAGCCGCTTCCTCTGAGGTTCGACATCATGGGGTCAAAGGTCATCGTGCTGTTTATGAGTGACCTTTGAGATGGTGTGACACACAGGGTCACATGGACATCATGGGGTCAAAGGTCATCGTGCTGTTTATGAGTGACCTTTGAGATGGAGTGACACACAGGGTCACATGGACATCATAGGGTCAAAGGTCATCGTGCTGTTTATGAGTGACCTTTGAGATGGAGTGACACACAGGGACATCAGGAGGAGATATGATCCTTGAGCCCAACGAGGGTTTTTTTACAGTGTTTGTGCGGATGTGAGTCACAGTGGCTTCCTCTCGTGTGTGTGTGTGTGTGTGTGTGTGTGTGTGTGTGTGTGTCCTGACAGAGTAGCCTATGTGATTAATCTGTGAACAGTGTGTCCTGTTTTTACCTGTGTACATATTTGAGAAACAGTGCTGTGTGTGTTGTATCTGGGTTTCCCACAGTGCTGTTCACGAACCCTGGCTGATAATTCATAAAATGGTAAATAAAAACTAAAATGGTGGCGAGCATGACGAGGCCGGTGGCGTGATCGAGGATGAGCGACTCGTGCGCGACGCACCGGTCCCGCATCTCGACCAGCGGCGACGACAGTGGAGAGAGAGAGAGGACCAGGCCTGCACTTATGTTGTGTTGTGTTTATGGTTTATTATATGTGACCGCAGTCGTCTGTAAGGGGCGGCTGTCTTTACTTTTACTTTGTTGTTTGTTTATTTTATGATTATTAAAGTGTTTGAAAGTTCGCTGGTTCCCGCCGCCTCCTTCCCACAACAACTGACCTCGTTACAAAAATAAAATACAAATTTTTTAATAGAAAAATTCAAGATAAAAAACGTCCTAATTTTTTTTATTTTGATTACCTGCATGTCACGTGACCATTAACTGAAATCAGAGAACCATGAACTAAATCATAAATATAGAATTGTGAATGCATTGATAAATTATTTAAATATGAACTTATTTAAATATATTGTAAATAATATCTGCTTTTTTAAGTTAAAAATAATCCAAAATAATTATATTAAAAAATCCGTATTCTGCCAGTGGTCAAAACTATCTGCTTGCCATAGCTAGATTCAAAACGGTTAGCTTGTAATAATGATTTTAATTCCAGTGGTACTGGTGGGTTTCCGCGGGAAATTCGAGCATGTCTTCGCGTCATGACGTCACACCCGTACACATAAAGAAGGAGTTTCGGCTAGCCGGCTATACTGCGCGTGACGAGATGTTTAGATGTATAGGCTTTTCTCGCAGCACTTTACATAATTAAACTTATGGCATCCAGAAAGATCCAAACAACAATCATCAGTGTCAACTGGAGATTCAGCAGTTATAAAACCCAAAAGACTTCGTACTTCGGATTTAAAGGAACACTCCGACTTTTTGGGACTTTAGCCTATTCACCACCGTATCCCCCAGAGTTAGATAAGTCCATACATACCTTTTTCATCTCCGTGCGTGCTATAAGTCTGTTTGACGCACCCACCGCTAGCCTAGCTTAGCACAAAGACTGGATGTAAATGGTTGCAGCTAGCATACTAATCCAAATAAGTGACAAAATAACGCAAACATTTTCCTATTTACATGTTGTGATTTGTATAGTCACAGAGTGTACAAAAAACAAAGTCACATGAGACACAGACATATTTTAACAGTATAAATACTGGGAACTATATTCTCTGAAGGCGAAGCACTGCTACTTGGGCGGAGTGATAACCGCAGCACCTGAGACGCGCCGTGGTGAGGAGCAGAGAGTTCGTTCAGAGTTTGGGTACGGTACGTCTCAGGTGCTGCGGTTATCACTCCGCCCAAGTAGCAGTGCTTCGCCTTCAGAGAATATAGTTCCCAGTATTTATACTGTTAAAATATGTCTGTGTCTCATGTGACTTTGTTTTTTGTACACTCTGTGACTATACAAATCACAACATGTAAATAGGAAAATGTTTGCGCTATTTTGTCACTTATTTGGATTAGTATGCTAGCTGCAACCATTTACATCCAGTCTTTGTGCTAAGCTAGGCTAGCGGTGGGTGCGTCAGATAGAGTTACAGCACGCACAGAGATGAAAAAGGTATGTATGGACTTATCTAACTCTGGGGGATAAGGTGAATAGGCTAAAGTCCCAAAAAGTCGGAGTGTTCCTTTAAGGTGGCTAGAGAAAGAGAAAGAAACCGTCTCATGCGAACACAAGGATTTAAACATCGGCGGGGCTTTTGAAAAGTGCGTGAACTCCGTGTTTTGAAGGGGTTCGAAACGGAAGAAGAGACGGCTTTTTCCTGCTGAACAAGACATTTCAATAGTTCAATCGTGTAACAGTACGTTTTCTTAATTCACACAGTTATGGAGTTTCCTTTGTTGTGCCTTTCTCGTTTTGCTATTATGGAGAATATGAATTCTGAACTACACAGGTAACCATAAAACACATTAAATTTAACAGTAGTCACGCTATGCTGATGTGATGTTGTTAACATGAACAATTTGAGAACAAAGTAGGCTATAATTTGCACGGTTGCTGTAAATCGCGTTGATTAAATCTAACGAAGCTTATCATGTCGAAGGCTTTTTCCCCCTTAGTTGGTCAGAACAAAAATGGATGTTACTTGTTCAGAAGACATTTTCTAATGAAAATTCTTATGTTGGTCAAACTTTCAAAAAGTGAATCTGTGATTCTGTATGCCAGTATCCACACAGCGCGGTGACTGACAGCTCCACTCGCCTCAAAGCACTGTGTTCATCCGCGCTGTTTCATGCCGATTTACAACCCACGTAAAGATGATAATTCCACGAATCACTGCAGTTACAGATTTCGAACAGAGAGATGGCGACAAAGAGGGAAAGATACGGACTGCAGCTTTAACTCAGTTGCATGAAAACTGTATTTTGTTGCATAGCAATATGAGCTCTAGTACTAGTGTCTACTAACCTCCCCCCCCCCTCTCCCCCCCCCCCCATCTCCCCCCCCCCCTCCCCCCTCTCTCTCTCTCTCTCTTTATCTCTCTCTTTATCTCTCTCTCTCTCTCTCTCAGCCCGTGAGTTGGACGGGGTCAATCTACAAGGCTTTTATATCTGGAAGCTCCAGGATCATCACGATCATCAGTTCGGTCTCTTCACCTCCGCCGCTCACCACTCTCGACCCAAAGCGTCCGTCGGCCTTTACCGTGACATCATCACCCGCCGCGGCTTTCCGTCCGCCGCTGACCTCCAACCTTTCACCTGCCAGGTCACGGACACCCAGACGACCTGTGAACTCTGCACACACATCGCAGAGAACAAACCGCTGCTGTTCTTCAGCGCGTGTGTGTCCGTCGGCGTGTCGATGCTCAGCGCGCTCATCATCATCTCTGTGCTGAGGAAGAGGAGGATGAGGAAGAGAGCGGTTCACGTCGGGCCGCAGAGGTTCAGGGTCGCACACAGAACCGGCCACTTGCATCATTAACCCTGTCCTAACCCTCTCGTCCAAACACACGCGACCCTCGTACTTCCCGTGCACTTTATAACACATCTTTCCCTCGCGGGTCAAAATGACCCGAAGCCCTTAAATTATACTTCTTTTTTTTTTTTTTTTTTTTTTTTTTTTTAGAAAGCTTATATTATTTTATTTTGATAATATTTTTTCTATTTTTTAATGCAATTTTTTGGGGGGATATTTATTTTATTTTATTTTATTTACCTTTAAATTACTAGATTTGATGAATAAATAATAAATAAATAGTAATTTAAGCACATTCCTCAAATGCTTTAAACTTAAATTCAAAATAACTCATATATTTCGTATGCATATTTCACGCATAAACCTTTTAATTCAGCTCAAAATATCTTACATTGCCGACCTCTTGTGGAAACATGATATATAACATGATATTTCAAGACTTATATCTCTATATGGAGCAAATGTTCCGCTGGGTCCTAAAGTCAGTTAGTTCAGTATGCATTTAGATACACGTGTAGACATTATAAAATTATTTTTTGGTAAAGTTTTAGCATTTTTAGTTAGAATTTTTAGGATTTTCTATGTTTACTGAAGCATTCCTCGCATTTTATTCATTTCTATGGGGGTCAAACATTTTTTTTAAATTAGTTTCGGGTCAAAATGAACCGAGGGAAGGATGAGAAGATCAAACATCTCCAGATTGGCTGAGAACCGGCAAACACAAGACACTTTAAAATGCACACGTGTGTACAACCCAAACACCTGAACATTGGACATGAGCTGACATGAGCCGTGTGTGATGATAACGCTCGGAAACCCTGTCAACTTTACACACAAGACACAAGAAAAAGCACTTTTAATACATCAAGAAAAATATACACAGGGATTTTATCAGTATCACTAGAAGTTCATCTCGCTTAAATAGTAGTCTGAACTCAATAATGATGATTTAGACATTACACAGCTCAAATAGTGCATATTTTTAGGGAATAATTAATGTAAGTGCTTTAACAAAAATACAAGAATCACATTTCATATTAAAACCTGCAGAATGATTCCTTTATTTACATCCATTGTAAGTTCTCGACTGTTAAGCTGAAGTTGTATTGAACTGTCAGGAAGGATTGTTGTTGTTGTTGTTGTTTAGAACTGTATGATTATTACAGAACTGTAATATTTCTGGAGGAACTGTATGATATCTATCCATTAGATGGCGCTGCTGCAAACGAGTTCTCCTCACACTGGCTATTATCAGTTCTAACGATGAACGGTTCCACTTTTTGTACATTTTGATTGACTTAATGTGAACGAGTAGAGGGATGGCTGAAGGAAAAACGGAAACAGTTTAACAATGAATCTGTGATGTTTTGTAATACTGTAAATTATAACAATAAATAATATAGTTTGAGAACTGCTGCAGACCAACTTGTAATAAATCATCATCATGTGAAGCTGTGAAGCATTCCTGTGACAAACTCATTTATGAGGATGAAGGCATTTCAAACAGGTAATGCACACACACATGCACACGCAAACACACACGCGCGCGTTTGCACTGCAGTCTGAATACACAATTACTTAAAAATAAAGGGTTAATGTTTAACGTAAAAAATCAACACGTCAATGCAAGAAATGCAACATATTCACAAGAAATCATTAATATTGGTATTGTGCAGTTTCAAATGTTTTTGCACCAGTAGGCTATAGAGTGCAATGGTTATAGACTGTGTATTATGGCAAGCCGTTTTACATCCAGCCTTACTCGTCGTAATTACATTTTTACTAGTAGCAATTACAATTAGAGAGCTCTTTAATGCAATTCTTACTAGTGAAAATACAATCAGAGAGCTCTCTGGAACTGAGATTAACAAGAAAGATTTTGCATAGGAATGAGCCAAGGTATTTTAAAGATTATTTTAAGTTTATTAGGAACTCTCATAGCTACTCAACTAGAAGCAGTGCCACAGACATAGTACCTTGTAGATTTAAGAGTTGTTCTGGGCAAAACACCTTTTTGTACATGGCAGCAATTGAATGGAACAAACTCCCAGTTGAGATTAAGTTAAGCCAGTCAGATCGCTGCTTTAAGCAAGCATGTGGTGAATGGTTGCTAAAAGCTAATCAGATTTAGTTTTTATGTAGTCTTAAGGAATATTTGTTACTGATGTGTATGTATTTGTGTGTTTGAGTGTACAAGGTGCTCTATTGTCATCTGGGGCTTGCTTGCCATCTTTATCGGACTACAACGAGGACCACAATGGAAATAAGTTTTGTAACTTTCTTGTGCTATCCTTGACAGCTCTGATAAATGTGTAGTGTCATTGTAATGGCATCTTGTTATGCATTTATTGTTATTTTTTTACTGTCGAATAAATCAAATCAAAAAAAAAAAAACTCTAATTGTAATTGTTACTAGTCATAATTGAATTGTAGAGTTCTCTAATCGAATTCTTACTAGTAAAAATGTAATTACGACGAGTAAAGGCCTGTTCACACCGGGACGAATTTCGCGCGCGATATTCGCCGACGTTTAACGCCTCGTGACTAAACAAAGGGCGCCTATGTGAGTGTGCACACCGACACGAAAACGCCACGCGTAAAAACCAGACAGTATAAGACGTGGACAGAGCCATCTCATTGGAACTCAGTTGAGACAGTTGAAGCCCATTTTTAGCGATTTTTGAGCACTTCCGTTCCTGACGCGCAGACTCAAACCGACTCAAACTAAGCTTGATGACGTGAGCAACCTGTCTGACAGACGTTAATCTTCTAGTAGCTGTGCGTGAAAATTGCCAACGTTAATCTTGCAGAGACGGGGAACTTGAGCAAAGAGTTCTTTGGCGTGAGAGCAGGAGTAAGTATTCCGTTGCTTTTATGGACTCATTATCTATGGGCTTCTCCCTTGACGGGACGTCCCCCCGATTGCCTGCGAGCTTCTCCTCCTGTCTGTACGGTAACTTCTGTACAGCGCGACAGAGAGTCGAGTGGTTATGACGCAATCGTTAGCCTATTTTTACTAAATCTGTTTCTACGGGGCCATAATGTAACATAGAAGGTAATGGAGCCCTTTATACATTGTCGTGTTTCTTTAGAAATAAATAATGGACAAATGGAGTCTTTAAACGCCTCAGATGTAAAGTTATTCGCTGTCAAAGTGACGCCAAAATGAATGGGAGTCAATGGAAATGCTAACGCAAGTGAAGTTCTGCTACAACATGGCGGCACCCGGCCGGCTTCAACTTCCGGTCGATGGATTACCCCCTTGGTAAAAGCAAACGCCTCGGGTTTGTTTTTTTGGTTTGACACGCCGCGTCAAAAACTATCCGACCAATGAGATTGGTGCCCCAGCTAGAATTTTTTTGTTCTAAAAATGTTCTGAGAACATTACCATGCATTGTTCTAATAATGTTTTCAGCGGGTAGTTTTCTTTTTGTTCCCAGAATGTTCTCCTAAAAGTTCTAATAACATTCTTTAAAAACATTCTAAAAATGTTTAATGCTAACATTGTTAGAACATTATTCCCTAATGTTCTTATAACATTTTCAGCGGGTAGTTTTCTTTTTGTTCCGAGAATGTTCTCTTAAAAGTTCTAATAACATTCTTTAAAAACATTCTAAAAATGTTTAATGCTAACATTGTTAGAACATTATTCCCTAATGTTCTTATAACATTTTCAGCGGGCATAGTTTCTTTTTGTTCCCAGAATGATCTCTTAAAATATGGCATAACATTCTCTAAGAACACTCTAAAAATGTTTTGTGATGACCTTCTATAAAGGTTTAATCATAACATTTTTAGAACATTACATCCCCTAACATTCTTATAAAGTTTTTAGCGGGAAGTTTTATTTTTGTTCCCAAAATGTTGTCTTAAACAAAAAAAATGCTTAGCTATAACATTGTTAAAACATACAATTTTATTAATCTCAAAATTAAAACATCAAAATCTAACAGGTTTATAAATGGCATCCACATAAATTATTAGAAGTTCTGCGTACAGTAAATGCCCAACATTACATGAAGAACTCAGTAAAGTCACTCATGCATCTTGACTGCTGTGTTTGCTCAGAGCGCTCATCATCAGTCTTTGCTTGTCTTGGTTCTTCAGAAGAGTAATCCAGTCATCTGTATTAAGATTAGGTGTTCTACTGTTCTTCTCTTCTAGTTGTCGCTGCTCGCCCAGTTAGCAGCATTGAGCTCTGTTCTCTGTGTGCATGGTAGTTTTTCCTCATAGCCTATACAAGAAGATCATGCAACAGTGTAAACAGAAAGAATACAAATACATACATATTAAGATCACAAGCAATATTGACATTGACAACTTTCAAAATTAGCCAGCCTAATTAGTAATCAGAAATTATGTAAAGACTAATTTATTTAAAGTATAAATATGATACCTTATGAGTATCTTTTTTTTCTGTAATTTAAAACATATACTTAATCCATTATATACATGTTAATAACACAACTAAAGGCTAAATTATGTGAACAAACTTTGATGTTGGCTTGAGAAGCCTGAACCTCGAACCAAGACTGGAACTCAGGTCGCCCTGAGCACAGCTCCAGCATCACAGCGCTCGTTGCCCACTGGGCTATTGCTCTGACTTAAAGCTCATTTTCATCAGTTATATTGTCTATGGATCGTTACATTTCGTTACGTTACAATTCTGCTTGTTTTAAATCAGATACAGATAAAGTAGCACTGCATTTGAATGCATTGGCGATAGAACAATTTCTAGAGTGAATTAATCATACCTGTAAGTGCAGCGTCTCTTTGCTATTAGTAGTGAAGCTGTTATTTTAGTCAATAAAGTTTTAAATATGGATATTTTTCTTACACAAACGCATCGCTTCGCTTCAAAAGGCCTTTATAACCCCGCCAGAGCCGTGTGGATTACTTTTATCATGGATGGATGCATGAGCATGATAGACTTAAAACAGAAACGGCCATTCACTGCCATTATAATGCTCGGAAGAGCCAGGACATTTCTTTATATAACTCCGATT